ACGGTCTTATGGCACATTGTTGTGGTCGAGGGGCATCTTTGGAGAATCTTGCAGTGGGCTGTTGTGTCCTGGAGGCAGTGGCTGGTTTTCTATTATATTTTTGTGTCCTGTCCTTGATCCTGTTGATTCGGAGGTACAGCATGATGCTGCTGTTGTTCTGGAGGAATATTTTGGTGTCCTGGTGGCAAAGGCTGGTGTTCAGAAGGCGTCATGTCCTAGTGACTCAGGGACAGCATTCCCTCCACTATTATGAGAATTTAGAAAAGTGTTGTATCAATTCAAGTATATTTGCCAAGAATGTGTTGCATTTAACTTAAAATGTTTAAAATTCAAGTATATTTGCCAAGAATGTTGCTTTTAAAATGTGTTATTCAAATTTTAATGTTTAAAAAACCAAGTATTTTGGCCAGGAATAGAAATACATTCTCCGTTTGCAGTGAAGTGGAGGGAGCGAGAACACACAAACATACAGTTTTATCGAATGCTTTACGTACCAATCACGAAATTGGAAACCCTGTTAACCCACTGAACAGAATTACCCATGTTTCGTTACCCACGTTCTCTAGAATAATGTAAAACTAACAGAAAACGTTCTCTAGAATAATGTAAAACTAAAAGAACATGTCAGGTGGTATCACATTCAGGGCCAGTTAGCCAATGTAATCTTTACATGATCTGGTTGTATATGTAATTTACAAACGAAAGTAGAACTTACAATGCGTCGCAGGTGGAGACGGGTCATTCTGTGTTTTCAACCGTTCCATATGCTCCACAGCCTGAGAAAAAAGACGCCAGAGTAGGTTTTCATTCACTTGTCATGACTTGTTTTTCATTCAATAAGCAGATACAAGACAAATCAGTTCAGTTACCTGCTGTAGTTCTATTTTCTGAGCATTGAGCTGCTCCTGCTGTCGCTCTAGTTCCTGCTTTCTGCTTCTGAAGGTCAGAAGCTTTCTGGTTTAAGTCTTCCTCCTGCCTGACCAAATGCTCCTCAAACTCTCTCATCTCTTCATCAGTATATGCTTGGTTCTGTTCTAGAGTCTAAGGTCATCCGAAAACATGAAGGTTAAATGCCGGTTTTTACTCACTCGCTCTTATAATTAATAGGTTTATACAGAAGTCGAGATCAGAATTATTGCCACCGTTGGTAATTTCAAATTCCCTTAATCATCTATCATTTAGTTCTTGATGTGCACAATAGAAAGTGGCTATAAGAAAATAACTAACTAAAGCATTGAAATTTCCATTTCCACCTTTAGGGCAAAAATTAAAGTTCCAATCAACTAAAAATGTTACATATCTGCATGGAAGAGGACACATGTCTGTATTTTCTTAATGCACGGTGATGAGGATAGTTTGAGTAGCGACTCTCCAAGGATCACAGCTAGAGAATAGCAGAAATTAGCTGAGTTTTGGTGTCAGAAATCCCCCCCAAAATATACAAATAAAACAGGACCTACATCACCACAAATTGTTTGGATAAACTCCAGCATAAGCTTTCAAAAAACTTTTAGCTGTTATCTTGGAAAAAGGAGGTTGCGGAACATGTTGTGCCATTAACTGTAGCCAATGTGTATTAGAGAAAATCACTTATTTCATAATGAGATTTTTCCCCCATTTTCAATTGTTTTACTTCCATAAAAGGTTAGATTTTGGGTTTTTTTTTTTTTTTTTTTTAATAAAGGTCAAAAGGATTAGCAATGCAGATTTATTTTCACAGGCCTCTTTGTTCATAATTTACCAGGTTGCCAGTAATTCTGACCAGGACTGTACTTTGATCCTGTGTCAAACTTAACACAATAATCCAGACTGTTTAGTGTTTACTGATGCATGAATTAGATGTTATTGATCAATGGTCTATAATTATGTACCAGTAGCGTGTCACACTCACTTCCCAGCTGTCTGGTTCAAGAAACTCTTTTTTCTGTGGCAACCAGGAACTCGTCTAAGGACACCAGTCTGTCTTTATTGGTGTCAACCTGTAAAGGCCAGATGATTACCAGATACAGAAAAAAAGTGTTTTTTTTTTGTTTTGTTAGATTTGTCAATTTTCCTGAAGTTGCCATGTCAAGACATGCAAAGACAACTGGTCCATTATTTATAATCATCATTTAACCTCGTTCATGACGTGCTCTCTCATTCGCAGCCTTTCCTCCTCCATTTCAACCATGTCGTCCTCTTCATTAGTTGGATCATAGATCTTCTCCAGCTAAAAAAAAATCAAATGAAATCAGAAATTATTTTTAAAATAGCATAAAATAAAATAAATTAGCAGAGCATGTGGTGACTTATGCAATTGTGTACCTCCTTCGTGAAAAGGGCTTCCAGCTCTTGTTCATCAAAGAATCCATCTCCGTTTGAGTCTGCAATACAAGATTGCGAAAATATAATAATAGTAAGTATGTCATTTCAGCATTCTCATATCCAGGATTTGGCTAAGCCATCAAGAATTTTTACCATGCAGATTGAAGAATGTTTTTGGGTCAAAATCTTCAGGGTCAAGGCCATCAGCCTCCTCCCACACTTCTTTTAGCTGATCCTTGCTACCCTATGGAATAACACGTTAGAGAAATATGAGTATATCTTCAATGAAATCAAACATAAAGAGAAGTTAATGCGTGCAGACTTACGGGGTGGTTGACTTTGGGGTGATCAGCATGTTTTTTCTTCAGCTCCTCATAGTGCTCCTCCTCTTTCTTCCTGTCTTCCTCATCAAGTGTCTTCAAGTGTTCCCGTCGCTCATGCTCTTTCATCATCTCGTACCTTTTAAATTCTTCATGCCGTTCCTTGTCGTAGTTCTCCAGATCATTTGTAGCCTATATTGCAAGATCATAAATGTAACTGAAAGATTATAGCTTTATGTGTTCTGGTCTTATCATTTGTATCTAAAAGGTCTTTTGTTGCTCAGTGACCAAATGAGAAGGGAAACGCATGCTGTATGCAGACCTTGGCTTTACAGTCTTACATGATATTCTTTTAAAGTGTGTATGGAAGATTCCAGAAATATTTGAGACAGTATTTTCAGGTTTTCTGTGGGAATTTACCTTAAAATTAAGCAGAATGTGCAAGTAACTGTGTCCTACAAAAACGAAACGCCACTGAAATTTCTTTAGCGACCATATATTTTTCTATATTTAGCTCTTGTTCTTTGCGTTCCATAAAAAAAAAAAAACTATCTTGTAATCACAAATGACTGTAAAGTCATGACATGGATTTAATAAAATGTGAGAAAAATTGAATTATTTGTCCTTTTTGACTTAATTTTATGCTACATGAATTGTATTTTAAATGCAAAATATATTATTGACTTAAACGATTACAAGCACCAAAATCAAGTATCAAAAGATGGATTCAAGTATGATTATAAAAGCTGGGTAACTGTAAGTAATGGCATACCGATTTGATGAGTCTGTCCAGATCCTCAACCTCAAATGTGTGCGGGTTCATGTGGTTCAGATATTCAAACTGTTTGAGTAATGCCTGGTGATCTACCGCAATATCTGTGAAACATGAGAGAGAACTGTGTTTAGAGAATGTTCTGAAAATCAAGACCCATATGCTTAAAAAAAAAAAAAATCAATGAATCTACTAGATGTTGCATCTTATTTGGTGTTTGTGGTCTGTTCATTCATTAAAGTCACCATGAAATCAAAATTGACAATTCATGCGCCCTCGTAATCTTTAATCAAAATAACTCCCGAGTTTATCTCCCTACGCTCTCAAACAAATACATTTATGCAAGTCTTCATATACTGTATATTTTGCAATAAAATTAAAACATATTGTTTTTATACATAATCAACATCTGTAAATGAGTAGTTCATATATTTATGCATTTCTCCTTTTTAATTTGATTATGCTGTGTTCGCAAGGCTTCATGGGATTGTAGTTCTTTCCCCTCACCAAGGTGTCAAGTACTATTATACAGTCTTGCACCTTTGTCTTTTTAACTCACCTTATGTATGTAAAATTACCACAAGCATTTATTCAACTATAATTATTTTGACAGCCATTCTTACCATTCCCTCCTTCAATGTCCTGCTTGGCTTTGATCAGGGTTCTCAAACGGCTGACCTCTTGCCTTTTTAGTTCATCCAGCTTGGTTCTCACATGGTGGCTGACAAAGTCAAGCTCTTTAGCCAACTTCCCTTGCTGAAATCAGTAGGAATTAACAGATTAGCTATGTGTGACCTTTGTATCATACAAGACAAATAAAGCCATGCTGTTTCTTACCTTTATATCTTCCATGTCTGTGTTGTGGAGCTTTTCTCTAAAATGTTGATCTTTTTCAAGGAAGTCAATAACTTCTCTGAGATAGCGGTCATAGTGTAGTCCGGTGTCCTACAAATATAATATAAAAATAATAGAAATACATAATAAGATAATGTCAAATTTAAAAGTGTGACACAACTTGTTGCCAAAGTTTGTTATATAATTGGCTATTCAAATGTTTCTTACCGCACTCTGGGGAGGTTCTTTGACTGTTTCCTCTGCGAGTTTAACCTTAGTTTTATCTAAACTTATTGGCACGGCCTTGGCCCAGGACATCACACTCGCCAATACAAGGCAGCTGGCGAGGAGCCCCTTTAAACAGGACATCTGAAAAAATTAGCAAACATATGGATTAAACATCAAGCCGGAGATGACAGCTCTTTCATATTTTATATGGCTTGTATCGCAAAACCTAATGAGCCGACTATCCCTTTTGGAAATCTGAACCTTAAAAAAAAAAATAATAATAATAATCTGTCTAGCCTAAATAGACAGCTCGCTACCCAAGTAACACAGCCACTGATTGGCAGATCAGCTCTCCAATAAATCCGTTACTAAGGATAAACGACATTATCAGGCAGTTAGCGGGTCACTATATTAAAGAGACACTGCAAATATACGTGGTCTTGCTGGAAAGATATCATTGTAACAGAGAGATGTGGTTTGAAAGGGTTGCTGATCTCGATACATAGAAGCTAATTTCATTAGCTTGCCATTGCCAGTGAAGTATATGCCAGACGTTATAGCGAAACTCGCAATCCATTTTATAAGTGAAAAGTTGAATTGTTGATGTTCTATTTGGGTTAATGTATCCGGAGCGATTCACAATTAAACAATGCCACTTACGGTGTCAGATCGGTTTCTATCGAGCTATCTCGGGTGTTTTCTGCTTCCTTTCATTACCGCTGGCTTCCTGACTGTCCGCTATCTTGGACTGATGATGATGACTAACAGTAACACAGAGGCTAGCGAGCTAGAGCTAACCCAGTAACGTTAGAAGGAGACAGTAAGCTAGTCCACGTAGATCAAGAGCATTGTGTGTTTGGGCTTGAGTGATATTGTTTTTTATAACGCTAATATTGACTTCCTGAAGGGGGCGCATTGCGGCTCAGAAAGGCGAATAATGGACTGGGTTTTTTAAATTTGAAATATTTTTGCACTTAAAACATTATCGATTAAAACGTGATAATTATACTGTTTGCTAGACGTAAGTTTCAGAACATTCTATACAATTCTGAACAAATGTATGATTGGTCCGTTCTGACAAGCACTGAAAAATGGAACCGATAACAAATTATCTAATAACGCTGAAAATGTGTGTTATCATTTCTTCGGATAATAATAATAATATTGATAATATTGGATGAATGGATAACAATTTAACCCCGACCATACGCCCATTTCATAACCCTGTTGTACGCGCCAGTTCAATCCACTTATTATATTTCTAGAGCCTAGTCTACAGCCCTCTGGTCCAGACACGCTTACAGCAGTTGGTCTTTTCTTGGAGCGCCAACTGCTGGTGGATATGAGAAGAAAAAAAAATATAATAGAATTTCTCTCTTTGCATTTTTTTTTTCTTTACAAATAACATAGGACGACAGCAATGAAGTAAATTCTTGAAAATACAAACATAAATGAACACTGCAATTAATTATGAACATATTACATCACATAATGTTAGCAAAGGTCTTTGTCATACTCTAATTTTGTACTAAGTTAGTACAAAATTAGAGTATGACAAAGACCTTTGCTAAGTAGATTGAACACAAAATGTTGGGTTAGAGAAAGGAAAGATCATCCACTGACTCATAATTAACATTATTACAAAGTTGTTAAAAATAATATGATCATTGAAATGAATTTTTATGCAAAGATTTTAGAAGGACTTATCTGGATTTATTGGAAATAAACAATTAATAGGAAGGGGGTGGGGGGTCAATCATCTATCATCATCAATCATCATCTATTCAAACATAGATGACAGAACAAACTGGAAAATATATTTCAAAAGGTAACGTTATAACAAGTAAATAAAAAAACAGAGGCATTCAATATCTCTCTTCGTCCATATTTAAGGTAGCAAAGGAATTTTACACCAGATTGAATCAACTTACTAAACAACATAACTTTAGTCTGAAATAAATGATCCATGAATCAAGCGAATCAACAGACGGAAAATGACATTCTACATCACTTCCGCCACAATACTTCACTTCCTCTCGGCCTAGGTTCGGTCTTTCTCTTTCTTCGGTCTCTAAACCGCCATCATGGGTCGTATGCACGCTCCTGGGTAAATGTTTATTTTACGCTAAAAACACCATTTAGGGACCACACTGCCTACCCCAAAATACAGTTAACTCTTTATACGATAGACTGAACCTTGGATGTGTATTTAATTCGAGCTAGAAAATAGTTTTTGAGAAGTCAGAATATAGTCCCACGTTCTCTTCCTCTGTGTAGCGTGATGGCAGCACATGTAGAATGAGGCGCTGCAGGATGGATACATGAACGATCTTTACACACTGATTTTATCTAACATCGACAGTTTGTCGGTTCGGGTATCATGTCGTTTAGTTTCACGTAACCTACGTTTTGGTGTCAAAATGCGTTTGTCGTATCGTTAGGTCTTATAAATGTTGGTCTATTACATATAAAAGTATGTTATGTACTGAACCTATTCATTTTAACATTATTTATATTTTACAACCCCTTTATGTTCGTTTATAGTTTATATGTCCTTTATTTTATATTACCTGCTGTCAGTTAACATGTTTACAGCTTGGTTTAATGTTACTGCAGAAGAAGTGGAATTGTTTTAGTTGTTATGTAATGTTTCATTCTGGAAGACATGTTTAACATGGAAGAACGTTTTATTTTTCAGCAAGGGTTTGTCCCAGTCGGCACTGCCTTATAGACGAAGTGTCCCCACAGTAAGTCCATTGATTCTGATTCCTCGAATATGGAAGTACAATGCCTTTCTAAGTTGTCAAGGCTGTTAAAATAACCATTTTTTTTATGTCTTTTTAGTGGCTCAAATTAACATCTGATGATGTTAAAGAACAAATCTTCAAACTGGCCAAGAAGGGTCTGACCCCCTCACAAATCGGTAAGTTCTGACTGATGTAAAATCAATGTTACTGGATGTCGTGTCCATTGTATAACATTAAAGGGATAGTTAACTTTGAATTTAATTTGGTATGTTTTTGCTTACCTCAGGGACATCCAAGATGAAGGTGTCTTTGTTTCTGCAGTAGTTTCAATTTTGAAATGTTTAGGTCAAACTATTCTTGTCTGTCAGTCATATAATGCAGGTCTATGGTCACCACCTCAAAGAGCATGCACAGAGAAGTCCAAATTAAACTTGATGTAATGACTTGTAAATGTAATTACACATTGATGGCCTAAGACACAAAATGAGCAGTTTGTGTGAGAAAACGAAGAGTATTTATATTGTTTTTACCTCTTGTAACCACAGCCACATTCAAGTAATCCAAGGGAACGGGCGCTTCAATCTGCGAAAATGGGCAAGCTCTGGAAGTGATCTCTCGCGCGGTTGCAAAAAAAAAAGTCTGTTGATATATCAATCATCTTCCATTGCAATTTCCTGTATATCTATATATGTTTAGATCTTCACAATGAAAGGTAACACTTCCGAAATCTCTGTGTAAACTATGAGTGACGTACACGCGGGAGAGATCACTTCCGGCGCTTGCGTAGACCGAAGCGCTTGGACGTGGCTGTGGTTACAAGAGGTAAAACTATATAAATACTGTTCGTTTTCTCAAACCGCTCGTTTCGTGTCTTAGGCCATAAATGTGTACTGACATTTACGAGTCATTAAATCATGTTTAATTTGGACTTCTCTGCATGCTCTTTGAGGTGGTGACCATAGACCTGCATTATATGACTGACAGACTAGAATGGTTTGACCTAAAAATATAAAAATTGAAACTACTGTGGAAACAGACACCTACATCTTGGATGCCCTTGAGGTAAGCTAAAACATACCAAAAATTAATTTCAAAGTGAACTGTCCCTTTAATATCACAGGATTCTCTATAGCACGTTTTATACAGCCACGTTTAAAAACTAGTTTGAGTGCAGTCGTATTCGTAAAATAATTACAGCTGAGGCACACTTTACATTTGTAATCTGATTTCCAATAGAAGAGAGAATCCTTTCATCTTCAGTTGTCACTTTTTAATCTTATTGTTTATGCATCTTAATGGGCACTTCAACAATTCAACTTCAAGTTTTCATATTTGTTAAACAAACGTAGCAGCCCATATTGTGTCTGTCTGCACAATATCACTATCAAGAAGCTGATATCTCTTGCTCTTCTCATTAGGTGTGATCCTGAGGGATTCCCATGGTGTTGCTCAGGTGCGTTTTGTCACTGGCAACAAGATCCTTAGGATCCTGAAGTCCAAAGGCCTGGCCCCTGATCTGCCCGAGGATCTCTACCACCTTATCAAGAAGGCTGTTGCTGTGAGGAAGCACTTGGAAAGGAACAGAAAGGTAATGAAAATAAAACCCATGCAAGATCACTTTGGAGATTTCTAGAAAAATCCATTCAGTGCACTTCAACAGTTTTCTCACCATTGTCACTTGTAATTGCAGGACAAGGATGCTAAGTTCCGCCTGATTCTGGTTGAGAGCAGAATCCACAGGCTTGCCCGCTACTACAAGACCAAGAGAGTACTTGCCCCCAACTGGAAGTAGTAAGTGTTTGAGTTGTTTTAAAAACAAAATTGAAATCCCTCCCGTATTTGTAAGTGCACATTTCATTGTCCCATTCTTCACTTGTTAAGAACTGAGATATTTCTTATGTGCTAGATAAACTTTGGAGGTAAATTAGCAGTTTGGCTTGAATGTGCCACCACTGCCAGTCCCCTTCACACAAAAAGCTGCTTTGTCTTTCAAAATGCATTTGTCCCCCACTGAATCTTTTAACTGATTCATTTGTTTTCACCCACAGCGAATCCTCCACAGCTTCTGCACTGGTGGCATAATTTTGCAGTTTTTTTGGACAAATAAAGATATTTGGATCAATTCATGTGTGTGTTGTCAGACTGATTTTCTATACTCAAGTTACAGAACTGTTGTGATCCTAATTGAAGTTTCAGAGTAGAATAGAGTTGCCACATACCTGTATTCATTTCAATTTGTCATTTGAACATCTCATTCAGAATCCAACTGAATATTCACTTCTATTTGTGCATGTTCAAACAGCGTTCATTTATGGGGGATGCAGTTGTGAAGATTCAAAGTCAAGCTATTGAATTATACACCACTTTGCAAACATTAAAAGTAGTGTATTGGCAACAATGTGTAGTGCATGTTTTTGTGTCATTGGTAGTGTTATTAACAGGGTTTCTAGGTGGAGCGTGTTCTGCTCAATTCTGCAGCAGATAAAGGAGAAAACAATCTAAATTTGACTGTACTTTGCTGTTTTGTGATCGTGTTACATCTACATTTACAGTATCAAACTGATCTGCCAGGCATAAATATATGCAGGTTATAAAGCGTTTTAGGTTTCTTATGTAAGCATGCTATCACTTAACAAAATCAATGGAAGAAAATAAAAATATTTACAGATTACTATATTCCAAAAATAATTTGAGTGGTAAAGTATGGAATTCTGAAATAAGGACATTGAGAATTAATGGGTTAAATCACTGCTCAATCTGGGAACAAATGGCAAGCTTAGCCATTGTTACAACAGAAAAGCAATAAGAGATAGCAGGTTGATTTAGTAGCTGTTGCCTTGTGGACATAAAATTCAGTAAAAGGCTAGAGATCTAATTACAATGGTCATTTAACTGGCTCTAATTTAAAAAATAAAATAAAGGGGCAATTTTTGATCTAGATGGAATTCTTACAACATTTGTGCTCCTGTATTGGATTGTGAAACCACTAAAAATAAGATTTTGTTCATACACCCATCTTGATAGAGCTAAAATGTTACTATTTTCAGGAATATCTGCATGGCCCAGTATATTTAATAATAAAAGTTTGTAAGCTGATTTAATAGACATGTTCTT